CCTTCCTGCCTTCCTTCCTGCCTTCCTGCCTGCCTTCCTGCCTTCCTGCCTTCCTTCCTCCCTGCCTCCCTCCCTTCCTCCCTCCCTTCCTCCCTTCCTTCCTCATTTCCTCACTTCCTCCCTTCCTTCCTCACTTCCTGAGAATTTCTTGTCACTTTCTGAATGGAAACATGAGCTATATGTTTATACCAAGGATAAGAATACTGTGGTTGGTTGTGTTAAGCAGATGCATATGCTACCAGATAAAGTAAGGGTATCACAACTCTTTTCCTTGACTTCTGAAATGCCACCAGTCTGAAACCAGCTTTCAGTGAGGAAATCTCTATAATTCTTCTCATCTTGCTTGTCTGTCTCTCAGTTTTAATGGCAGCTCTGTTTTTCTGATATACCTGGCTACAAACTCTTATACAGTAATTCTTTAGCTTCACAGGCTGCTACAACCAAATTTGGTATAGCAAAGTGCTGCAACACAACAGCAATAATGCTCTTTGAGGTGTGTATTACACCAGATTCCCAGGTAAATGTTTTTTTTTAATAAACTCACCTTCATCCCTTGTATCAGTTGTCTCAACTGCCTGGAAACTGAGGTTACACATGCAGCTTTCTCTCAAACACTTGCACATGACTTGTCTGGACTGAGGCATCATGCTCATATACATCAAGCAAAGGTGAAAAGCTGTTGCACATATGGTAATTTTAATCCATTCCATTTTTAAATACCACAATAAATTTAATTTTCACAATAAATTAAATAGCCATATTCAGTTTACAAAATAGAATTACTTAGTGTGAAACCAGTATTTACAAACATTGTACACTATATACATGATGTTTAGATTTGTTGACACACAGCATAGAAGAAAAAATTATTTGACTTTTTTTTGACACGATTGACATGCTAGAAGAGACACTATGGCCCATACAATAAAACAATAGTGCAAACTCACAGGAACTCTGAAACAATGTAATTTGTATGAGATATTAATTTCAAATAATAAGAAAATAGTACTATCCAATCTCATTGTAAAAATTCAGCACTGTGTTTAAAGTGTCAGTATTCCTTTAGCAATATACATACCAAATATAGCCTGAAGGTTATGCTTTCTCACAGCGTCACAGACTTTAGACATGAATTTTTATGGCATAAGCTAATGTTCTGCTTAGATCAACAAGTATGTTACATAAACACTTCACTAAGCGAGAGGAAAACTGACCCTTTTAACTGTGTCTGACTTTATGTCCCTAAATACCTTCTTTCCCTTTGTTATTATATCCGAAAAGATGCACGTATGCTGACAGGAGATTTATGTTAGTTACCACTCTGTAGAAAAAATTGATCCCATCGTATATTTGGTCACACACTGCATATGTACACGTATGCATGAAAAAGTCACTTTGATAGGCGTGTCTATGAAAAGTGCATATTTTAGGAGAGACACTTATTGCATGTCTCGGGTGCAACAGAAAGTGTTGTATGAAGCTTAGTTTAGGGCCAGTTAAATGTCCTCCCAGTGATCTGGTAAAATTTTTGATTAAAAGGGTGAAAGAACTTGCGCAATTTGGTAATGACAGAGGTATCCACCTCTGGATGGATGCGTCCCTTGCTACCCGCCAGGCACTTGTTAAAGACAATGTTAAACCGCAAGCAGTAAAACCCTCTGGTGACATTGAAGTATAAGTTGTACTGACTTATCCTCGGAGGAAGATTAAGGAACTTCTCGACCAGCTGGAGTTCTGGCAGTGGTTCTGTGATGAGCCGGTCTCCGTCCACAATATGAAACTGCTCGATTGGGAAGTATTTTAACCATCTCTCCAGATGTTTGGTGTAGATGCTGGTTCTCACTGCTTTATACTTTGTGTTCACTTCACAGGTATTAGGATCAATAGCCAGCTTCTCAAATTTGTAGTAAGTTTTGTTCTTTCTTTCCTTACCTTCCAGCACCTGAGTGTAATCTGAAATAGCTCTTGTGGTAGGTTCCCTGACAATGATCAATAATTTGATAGATGAGTTCATTTTGTAAATCCTTTCAGGTACTTCCTCGGTGATAAAATATGCAGGGCTTTTTTCAATTGTTATTTGATGAGGGTAAGAAAAAGGCATTTTTTTCCGGTACCACTCAATCCCCTTGGCATAGTTCTCGTCATTGTCGAAGAAATGAATCTCTTGAGAAGCTTTAACGACTGCGGGGTGAAGGTTCAGCATTTCCAGCAGTGCTCGGGTGCCTCCTTTCCGCACCCCGATGATAATGGCCTTGGGAAGCTGCTGAACCAGATTGTGCAGTCGTATTTGTTCCTTGGTGGCATTGCCCTTTCGGAACTCGTGGAGCAGCCCTCGCTTGAACTGCAGAGCTCGCAGTGGGATTTCGTCCTGGCTGCGGGGTCCGAATCGGCCGTCCATGGGGCAAAGGGGCTGCAGTCTGCAAGGCAAAGAAGAGATATTTGTAAAAAGAGGGTATCTGTTAAAGGCAGTTTTCTGTATAAGGCAGTCATACTCCTGGAAACCTTTTGTGATGTGACGTGAGCATCTTTCAGCTTTTATTTTGTTCTGTCAGTGATTAAATGTTTTGCAAACTGATGGATTATTTATTCTGGTATTTTGCTGTGACTTAGCTGAGTAACTCCTGACTTCACCCTTCTGCTCTGTGCAAGCACAGGCACTATGATTACTGGTCTCAGGACTTCTTGAACCTTGTCTCACATTCCACATTCCTCATTACTTTGTGATTGCTTTGGCAGTTTTTAAAGCATTCTAAGATTAATTTTATTTGGTTATTTTGATGTGAAAATCCAGTTCACTGACGTTGTCTTTTTCCAACAAGTTTCCTCTTCTAGCCTGAATACCTTCCTGTGCTTCCCATTGTGTTGACTTTATTACCTGCTGATCCAGAGTTGGCCTTTTTAGTGAAGAGGAATGAAAGGGATGAAAAGCAGCTTTCTAGATATCACTTCTCAATATTTTCCTTTCTGTTTGGAAGATGCGAATCAGAATCAGAAAGACCAAGGTTCTGAAGGAGACATGATTAGCAAGGCACCAAAAAGAATGGCAAGAAAACCTTTTAAAAATGCATTTATTGCATCATTACATCAATGATTTTTTTATAACCACTTCTGTATACTCCCCCTGACCCTAATTTCATACCTTACAGTTTCTTCTTTTGTCCCTGTATTTTGTATGTTCTTTTATATTCACCTGCAATTATTTTACCTTTGTCCTCTTTTCTAGTGCTACCTTATTGTATTTGATGTTGTTCAATCAAACGAATGATTCAGTAAGAAAAATGTTAACAATTTGCTACTACAGAACCTTGAATAAGCCCTCACCTCCACTCTTAAATCAGTGTTTTGGTCATTATACAAGCCAAGATTGCACTGAAGATGAAATTGGTGTTTAGAGACAGCTTCCAAACTCCTACAGAAAAATACCATTAATTACTTTATGGAGCAATGCACTCCAAAATTAAGGATATGTAAAAACAAAGGTTGCCTAGGCAATCTTAATATGAGCTTGCTGTGCACATATATTATGATATGGTTTTTTAAATTACATGTCCACATGCTATTATTTTTCGCTGGACCCCTGCCTCAGCCAGGGTACCAGATGGGCAATGCTCATTAATAGCTGTTTAGGTATTCCATATTTATTCTGGTTTCTCAGCATGTGGCCCCTCACTCATTTACTGTATATTACTCAAACCCTGCTTTCAGGACAGAATTATTTATTTCTTTATGTTTTTTTCCATATATCACTGCTTGTTGGGGTCTCTATTTTGACACTGATGTTAGGACAATGAATGGCTGGGACAAAGTACGTTTGATTCTCTTGCCTGACCTGTTAGCTGTTTCCTGGGTTATCCAGATGCTGAAAGATACAGCCTGTCCAGACAGAGCTGAAGAAACAACCCAGATGACATTGTTGGGCTCAGATGAGTTCTAGCTAAGTCCTGCAGACTAATCAGAAGATGTGATGTGAATTCCTGTTGTTATTTCTTTTCTGAAGTTTCTAGTCTCTGCTTCTCCTTTGCTCTCTGCCATCTACTGCATAAGAGCCTGACTTGGTGGCAAAGACTCGATTATTGAAATGCTGGTGCAAACTTGCCAATTAAACTATCAAACAAACAAACCCACCCCCACAAAAAAAAAACAAACCAAAACCAAAAACCCAAACAAACAAAACAAGCAGAAAGTGATGTCTTGAGTTAAGAGTGGTACCATTTGGTCAGACTGTGGTGTGGCTGGTAAGACAGTCGTTCTGCACCAATGAGGTGGCAGTTCAAAGCATAAGAAACAGAAGCTGCAATTCCATCTCTGTTCTTCTCTTCCCTCTCCTTCTGTGTATTTGTTATTTGTTTTCAAGCAAAGAGGATTCCATAACAGCAGTTCCAGACCCATCTCAACTAATTTCATCTCTTTTGCTCAAAAAGACAGTTAGCACTGCCTTCAGTGTAACACAACAGCTTGTCAAACAAGGTGGTTTCCTTTAAAAGTAAATAAATATTTGACATATCCTCTAGTCTAAGGGAGAAGACTGGATGTCATTAGAAGTCCTCCCTCAACACTTTACATGTAGGGTTTTTTTAACTCTTTCTGCTTTTTTGTCCTCTCTCTAAATGATAAAAATATAAATTATAATATCTTGGCTGTGGTGCTATTAACAGGCTGCCAGATCATGATAGATGGATCCCCAGACATAAGTATTTACTGTTTTATCACAACAAGTTAGTATTTTTGACTCTCTGACTAATTTTTTTCCATTAAAACAACAGTCCTTTGCAAAGAAAGAGTGGGTGGCATTTATTATATCACTGAAGTTGCTCTCCCAGGACAAGCAATTTTTCTATCCACTGTGGCAAAATCCACACATATTCTTCTTGACAAAACCCACTGCAAAAACAATTCATCTCAGGGAATTATATTTTTGCCTAATTTCAAAAGAGGTAAAGTATGTCTGGTGATCTTAATGACACGTAGCAGTGCTGTCTCTCCTGATTAAGAATATTCTAAGGTAGGCATCAAGATGGCAAAATATTATGAGCCTGGTTCCAGCAGGAGCATTTCAGAACATTAAAATGAGGTGCATATGCTCCCTGTACTGCAAACGACAGAGTTGGGCAACTCAACGACTGGTCCAGATTTTTCTCAAAATTGCCAGGTGTAGAATTTGTTTCTGCTTCCATATGTAAAGCAGCTCCATGTGCTTAGGATCTGAAGGATGCAGCCTCCTCTGAAGGCAGGTGCTCAGATTATTGGACTTTATGACTCTGTGAATCAGATAGACTAGAAGTAATTTCCCTTTGGGCCCAAGAAAACTCAAAACACTCCTGTTGAAGAGCCTAATCTGAGGCTATTAAATATGGGCCATCCCCAGCTCTCTTGTTCAAATTGGATCAGCATAAATTAAGCATAAATTAATATGGATTTATTCCTGAACAATTAGTTATTCCACAGTCTATCAAAGCCCTTTACTGACTGATTCAACAAGTTCAGACTCTGCCCTAATGCTGAGGCAGAAGAACACTTCCAGTTAATTCATTGGTGTCTCATCCTTTCTAATGCTTCCTTTTCTCTCTCTTTCATAACCAGTCCAAATAAAGGGCTACGTTTTATCAGTGTGGCATATTTCACACTGTGTAATGCAAGAGAGTGAAACTGAATTTTACTGCCATTGGCAACATTATATATGAAACTGGTGGAATTCAGTCGCAGGAGGTTGGAAAGTCAAATATTGTGGTGAGATAATTTTATAGTCTTTAATAAATTCTGAAGATGTGCAAGCATAGATAATAGCATAAGGTTAATTAGATTTCATACCTCTGATCATACAATATACTTTTGCAGGGACCAGTAAGGAATTCTGTCTCCATTTACAGAATCACATTAGTCTCAGTGAAGTTTCCTCTGAAGCATCAAAGGTGCTTTGATCACCAGGGGAAAGAAGATAAAAATTCTGGGTCTTAATTTGCAGTGCACTTGGTCCTAGCTGAGTACATGGTCTCCCTCTTCTTCTGAAGTGGATTTAAGCAGCTGAAGAAGGCACCCAGTGACCTCAGATGGAGCTGTCCATTACCTAGCAATGGACACCAGGTAGCTCTGATCTCAATTAATTGCGTATTCACCCAGCATTGTGTCACAATTTTGAGGTAATATTGTGCTAGTGTCAAATAATACTAGTGTCTAAAGGAACTGGTGTTGTTTAGCCTGGAGAAAAGGAGGCTGAGGGGAGACCTTATGGCTCTCTGCAGCTACCTGTATCGAGGTGGGGGTTGGTCTTTCCTCCCTAGTAACAAGAGATAGGACAAGAGGAAAAAGGCTGAAGTTGTGCCAGGGGAGATTTAGATTAGATTTTAGTAAAAAATTATTCACTGAAAGGGTAATTAAGCACTGGAGTAGACTGCCCAGAGAGGTGTTTGAGTCTCCGTCCCTGGAGGTATTTGAGAGACACGTAGATGTGGTGCTTAAGAATATAGTTTAAGCATTGGACTTGGTAGTGTTAGGTTAATGGTTGGTAGAGTTAAGTTATGGTTGGACTCAATGATCTTAAAGTTCTTTTCCAACCAGAACAATTCTGTGATTCTGTAATTAACATAGTTAAAATTCTCAAACCCTGAAGCAATCTTTAAAGTGAAATAGTATTCAAAATTTGACAAGCTACTCTACAGGCTCATAGTTAATTTTAACTATCACTGTAGCACATTAATTGCTTGCTCATGTATTTAGAAAATATGATATATAAATACATCATAGCTGTTTTGCTGAAACTAGAGGTCAAGACACAGATGCACATGGACAAAAATGAGCTACTGTAATGACATTTTTACTGGATGCTGTTTTATTTCTTCTCTGAAAACAAGTGCCAATGTGTTTAGAATACAAAGAGATGGTCAGAAATACTTTGACAGGGATGACCCAAGACTCTGTTTTCTTTTTCTCTTCTCCAAAAGGGAGGAAAAAACAATGACAACCACTACTAGAATAGACAGTCTTTCTACACATGAGTAAACATTAAAAACCAACCTAAAAAAAATAATAAATCAGATCCTTGAAACAAAAACTCAGACAATTTGTGCCCATTTATGATTAAGAGAGCAGCTACTTAATAACTTACCTATCCAAGCTCCCAACTCTGGCAACTAGATATAGGAGACTTCCAATAGCAAGGCTGCCTAGTACAAAGAGCTTCTGTCTCAGCAACGCCTGCTGTTTGAATAGCATGGCCCTCCATCAATCTTCAGGACTTCTTTGGTCTGCAGAGACAAGAACACATAAACCACTTATCAAAAAGCAATACACAGGGTAATGTTTAATCATTTGTTGCAAATGATTATGCCACACTTGCAAAATCTTTTCAAACTTCAAAATAATTACTCAAAACTTTTTTATTTGCTACTGTTTTTCTGTCTTTTGAGTTAACACCAGGCAATGTATCTGGGATATGTGATAATTCTGGAAGTGACAGTTCAGCCACACTCATGTCACGGATTGACTCAGGATTGGCAATTAAATCAATTACAACAATGCTCTCTATCCCCTCTCCCTCTCACCCAGGGAGGGAAAGTTGAGACAGAATAAGGAGAGAGGCTTTCTGGATTGAAAACTAAACTCAACAACTTTAATTAAATACTAATGGTATAAGATAATATGTATAAATATATACAAATATGTGAAGGAATGTGCAAAATCCCTATCATGTCCTCCCACCCCCAGCAACTCCCACGGCATCTCCTGAGCTGTGGGCAGTTCCAAAAAGTCCTGGAGTGCTGCCGGAGAGAGCAGCAGAGCAGACAGGAGCTGAGGGGAGAGTTATGAGGGTCAGAAACGCATGGGCCTAGGGATCAGTGGTGACGGACAGATAGAGTCCTTCTTGGATGCCAGCCATGGATGGAAGAGGGGAAAAAAAGGAGGGCCTGACATCTGTGATTCCTGAGTTTATACCAAGTGCCATGTAAATATATAGATAGAATAATTAATTTTGCCAATTTTGCTGTCTGCCTAGCCCGCTCTTTCCTATGGGAGGTTGTAGATATGTTTCTTCTGCTCCTTTAGTGTCCAAAGCACAGATTCAGCAAGTGCAGCAAAATGTTCTTGATTTCTCAGTAGCATCTATAAACATTCAGGCCTCATCAGTCCACTGGCTGGTAAACTTGCTGCTAGTTTCAGCAAGTTTGCTGTTTAAAAGAGAGTTCCCTGAAGGAAAAAAAGGAAAATTTGCTTCATCCTGGCTCAAACAAGGACAACACATCATTACTTTCTGGTAGCCACACTGTGAGTCTTGACTTTGTAGAGGCAAGTGAGGCAACAGTAACCAAGAGTTAGGCTTGCAGGTCCTGTCCACACAGTGTATGGGGTATGTTTACTGTGTCTCTGTTATTATTAGAAGTCTGAGCTGGAGAAAAACCTAAACCAGTATGTTTCTTGATCTCTGCCAGCAAGATCAGGAAGACAGACTTGAGAAGCATGCAGCTGGGGTGGGCATAACAATGATTTTTTGAGACCAGAGCATCCTATATTAAACAGAGCCTGCAAATGTTTGGTTTTTTTTTTGTCCTGCCCATACTGTTAAATATTGGGCCCAGAAAGCTTTCATAAGGCTCCAGGATACAGTTTGGGAGCCAGAGACTTTACCCAGTAGGCAGCATACATGCAGGCTGCCTCCTTTAGTGCCGGCTGAGTTTAATGGGATGGATGCACGTCACTCCATACTGGTTGTCTTCAAGGGTGTAATAGTCATTCCCAAGCACATTTATTTTATGGCTATAGAGAAAGCCTTTGTAAGACCAGCCCATCATCTCGTGATAAAAGAGCCATGCAACATTGAAGCTCTGAGCCTGCCTGAGTCTCTAATACACTTCTGGTGTACTAATAATAATAGTAACTCATAATGCAGCCTGGTTATAGCTCAGTATGATATCCTGTTATCATGCAGGATAACCTATCATACAGAATATATCTCTTTTTACATAGATAAAAGCTACTCTATAGTAAGAATTATGAGATAAGATCCTTATTGCAACAAGAATCATATAAAACACGAAGTAAGAAGAGTTTGTAGTGTAAATACAAAGACAGAAGAAGTACTATCATCGTTTAAAAAATAAATGAGGGGAAGTACAGAGAGATTAAGTGATTCGCTCAAGGTCACAAAGAAATCTGACTTCTTTTTAGTGCCTTAACTACATAATAAATTTTGGTCTTTTTTGTAGCATATTTTTTCTTAACATTGAAAAATAAACATAAAAATGAGACATTCCAGCTATTCAGTAAAGCAGAAAACCAATAGCTGAAGCTTAATTATTAAAAAAAGTGCACCGATACTGTGTCTCTGTGTTGATATGCTACTGGTGATTACTCTTTTAACGGAGTTACTCAATTAAAAAAGAGGACATGAGGATGATGATGATGCAGATAGCAAAATTTCATAGGTTTCCAGGTTTAAATTCTTAAGTGCTGCTCTCCCTAAATAGAAGTACCACCTCAGCATTACAACAACTGGTTCTGAATGTATTCTCTCAGGAAACATCTATGTATGTAACCCTCTGCATATGAAACTGAAGTGTTGCCCACATGTTCTCCCTTCTACATCCCAGTGAAGTCCTGCCTGTTGGCCTCACTAAGGCTGTGGAGGTCATCAGGCCATAATGAAATCAAATTATTGACAAGCTGTTTTCCTGAAATAGATTCCACAAGGTCTCATGCCCTCAGCATTCATGTTTGTAGTTAGATTCAATGCAAAATAACCAAACCAAGCCAGCAAACCAAAAAAACCCACACCCAAACAAGTTCCATTTGCTTTGTGTTTGCGTGTAGCTGAGTACAGAAAACTTTTCCACAGAATCACAAGTACTAAACACCTACTAGAAACACAAATATAACATTATTCATTTACTTGTTTCACTTCTGTTATCACTTTCAGCATCTAATCTAAAGTCCATGGAAGGCGTTTTATTTCAGAGATGCTGTGACCTCTATAAAACTTTCTATCTGTTGTTAGGTTTTTTCATGGAAAGGAATGTAGAGAAATAATATCTCAACTTCAGAAAAGGCTACATCTTGCAATGGATGGACTGAGATAGCTCTGCGTGACAGAGGAGAGGACTGATGAAATACTTCTGTTTAAGCCACGGAGTTAATACAACCAAAATGTGATTAAGGTGAAGGTCCCTAAGGCGGAAATGTTGCTGGAGACTAACATAGTAGTATTAAATGAAATGGAAAGAAGAAATGAAAAGGAGGAAATGAAAATTCTGGCACACATTATATGCTGCATGAAGTTTTTTATAAGGAAAGCACACTTTTAAACTGAACAAGAGGCTGGAAGGCAAGATAAAATGTAATCCAAAGTGACAGGGTTTTAGCAATTATTTGAGGCAACTAAAAGTGTGCTCTCTTAGGGAAGGATGGCTGAACTGGCACACAAGCTGCTGACCAGGAGGAGGAGGAAAACTGCATACAGAACTTTCCCAGTGTCTGGATGCTGAACATGGAAACTCCCACCTAAAGAGAAGGCAGTGTACTACACATCTCCATTGACCTTACATCAGAAATATCTATCTTGAACAATCTAGTTAAACAGGCATACAAGGAAATTCCTTTCCGGATATCCAAGAGTCATGATGTACAAAGAATAACACAATCCACAAAGTGGAATGCACTATTTATAGAAATAAAAGTGTGTGCAACATCATGTAGAGAAAATAATGTAACATGCTTTTCATATTACGTGTGATTTCAGATGTACAGCTGATCTAACTTGTTAGATCAACATGGTAAAATTAAATAAAGAACCTTTATTTAGCACTAGAAAGTAGCCTGATGTGAATGCCTCCCCCAACCCCAATCTCCACATTCCCGCCTCTGCTGGTGAGAGGACTGGGGTTATTGGGTGAATTACCAAAAGAAGAAAGTACAACTATGTAGAATTCTGATGACAACAACATTTTGAAAAGCAGATGGATTGTTCCTGACAAGATGAAGTGACCATGGATAAAGGAAGATATTATGTGTGCTGGCCAAATAATGTGACGTTTCAGTGAACTCTCATGAAAGTTAAGACAAAGTCAAATGAGTAGGAGAGAACAGAAAAAAAAAACCCACCATACTAATAATGATTATGTCACTGAAAAAATCTGAATTTGGTAACACCCCAAATGGTGTAGAAGCACTGAAAACAAGCTGTTGTTATAATCACACATTCCAAATAAACAGACAATGAGACAAGAAGATCACTAGGAAGTTATTTGAAAATGATCAGAGGAAAATTTTTGGACACATGGAGCAGAGATGAGAAGGTGATATTAATAAATGAATATCATATGGTTGATTATGGAGAGAAGTGTAACAAAGGAAGGTAAGATATAATCCTTTGGTGAACAGACTGAAGAGTGATGTGATTAATCCAAGAGAAGTACAAACCACAGGCAAATATGCACAAAGGAGACTGGAAAAAAAAAAAAAAGAGGTGATTTTTAAAGTTTAATCTATCAACCAGTTAGCATAGATTTTTTTATTATTATTATTTTGCACACCAGCAGGGGTCATCTGTTGACCAACAAATCTTTGTCTTCATGTACTGCAAAAAGATCTTTGAGTTTATGTGGGATTTAAATACAGTGACTGAGAAAACAAGTCAGGGAACTAATCACTTGGCAAGCTTCCATTTATCTTACTTTCGCATGATGTCTCTTCGACGCTAACTACAGATTCTTGCATTTGTCGCTGTGAGTCAAATTCACACAAATCAAGCACTTTCAGTTTTTCTGGGGTAGGAAATCAGATGGCGTTTGAGATAGGAGGGGATTTGCGTGCATCAGCTCATCAGTTAACAATCTTCTTCATGGTCTGGCTGGAATAGCTGGTCATGCTCCCACTCCTTTAGCCTCCTTCCCTTCCCCTTGTGCTATCTCACCATTGGTGAAAGTCTAAACTAGTGGAAAATGAGGAAATAATACAGTGCCACTGTACTTTTTCCCCAATACCCTTCGCTTCAATGGCCTAATTGCAACAGTACTACAGCACCACATGGACTGTGTTAAAGAGAATAATCATGATAAAGCAGAACATGATTTTTCATTACAGAGAGGATTTTTCATCCCCAATAGCACTGAATAGTCTAACAACAGACAAAATTCTTCCCCTTTTTTGACACACTAAAATGAAATAGATAATATGAACTGAAAGCTTTGAAAACAAGAGAGGTCAAGAGAGGTTCTCCTCCCCCTCTATTCTGCATTGGTGAGGCCACATCTGGA